GAACACTCATATAGACCCACAACTTCATTACAAAATCGCAAAACGAGGCTAACTTTAATAAAAATGAAGGATGTACAAGTTAGAAATTTCCGGTTGTCACAGGTTGTCTCTTGAACATGTTTCTTAGGAATGGAGTCATCAATAGTCTTTGACTTTTGAGATTTCTTCGAAGAGCCTTCATCACGTTTTGCCAAGAAAACACCAATTCCATCATTAGTGTTTAAAGTGAGCAAATAAGCCTCCAGCATTGGATTCGAAGGATCAACCTTCTTGAGCATCCCATCAGGAATCTTAGCAACTGTGGGAAAAATACTCACATCATATTCAATCGTCTTGGGATAATGATACTTCACGAATTCTGCTTTAGGCTCATCATCAGGCACCAAAATACCTTCCTTTTGATATGCGTATTGAAAAATTAAACTCCAATATCTTGCACATGAAACCCCATCTACTGCATTCGTGTTTTCAACACTCTTCAAAAATTCTTTCCAAATATGAGTCGCATAGTCAACAGGTAGATCATAGTAAATGCATGCGACCATAGCATACACCTCCATTCGTCCTTTGTCTAAACCAACACTTCGACCTGTGAGGCATCGAAGGTAAATCCAAAAAGAAAATTCCATATACTGGGAAGACCGGACTTCTTGAATTCACTGATCTTCAAGAGAGTAGGTTGATAACCCATCTCATTGAACATGTGTAACACTTGTTCATTAGTGACTTTGTAGAAAGGTGGAGAATTAGGGATTTCAAGGATCGTCTTGCTGTATGAGGCAGTAGAACCAGCCATGGACAACCAAGACACTGGTACTTCAAACGAACTGCGCAGTCGATAAAACGGAATGTTTCAAAGCAACGATGAGAATCTTGAGTTCTTCAGGGTACATAGTAACATCACCATCAACTTGATAGTTGGTACTCTGGATCTTCATGATTGCTTGAGATGAAGCGTTATCAGTAGTGTTGGATTGAAGAGAAGCCATGATTAGGGTTTGTTTGAAAGTGTTGAAGAACAGAGAGAAAATAAAAGCTTAGATCGTCTTGATAATTTTTAGTACGCATAAAATTGGAACGAAAACCCAATTGGCCCATTTATATGTATCCCTATTTTGAATCTCAAACGGTTACCATTTATGATCGTGACACGTGGCCCTTGAAAGTTGCACCATTAGCCGTCATATACGCCATGTTAGAAAAAGTGTGTGGAACGATCTCCGAGAAAGACGCACAGTAACCAAACCGTCACATCAAAAGTCTCTTCGTAAGTACTTGTGGATAAGGACCAAAACCTTCGGAATGGAGGTTGGCCTCTTTCGTTTTTGGGTTTGAAAACGAAGTCATGTACCAGACTTTTGATATCATCAGCCTGAGTTGGTAATACTCAGAACCTCAAGGATTTCATGAGTGCAGTGTGTCAAGGAATAAGATAAGAAGCAAAGTAAGAAAAATATGGATCTGTGATGTCAAAAATATAATTTCGACATAAAGGCAGATAAATCCCGGGCAAAGATTGCTTCGTGAATCATCAAGAGAGATGATCAACAGCTTGTGTGGTTTCCCGTGAATTACAATCGAATACTTATTGAGAAGTATCGAAGGGCTTCTTTTAATATGGCTTCAAAGGTGGTTTAAAATTTCGTTACAAAGCACATTCAACATAAGTATGACAATTTGTAAACGAAACTACTTGTTTGACCAGCGTAGTCAGTGACAAGTAAGCTTTGAAAATTTTATCAAGTAACGAAAGTTGAGAATGATACTCATACAGAAATCATATTCTTGAAACCAAAATTAATTGTAGTGGTGTTGATTATGATGGCATGTGCGGAATTAGAAAAGATCTAGTGAATCATCATGTAAACTCAAGAACACAAGGAGTAAATAAATCTATGTAAGCTCATATTAGATCTAGAAAGGATATACAAATGGGTTTGTACAAATTTCTCTCTCTAGTCTAACACTCCAAAATGATCATCCTCCAAACCTCCATAAGAAACCTTATCACTCCATGAAATCAAATCGCTTAACAATAACCCATAAAATTGATCTTCATTGACTTTGTATTTGATATCTTCAACGATCACAATCCAAGAATCATAAGGCAAATCCACCATGATCACAAGAACTTGAAATTTTCTAGAGAGAGAAAGTGATTTTGAATGGGTTTTCTAGAGATAGAAAGTAAAAATCACTTGAATTCTAGTGAAGAAAATCGAATTGTGAATAGAATCAAAGATGAATTCGATTTCTAGAATCCAAACTCTCTAAAACATGAAGATCAAAATACAATTGAAGAATCACCAAATCAAGATAGCCATCGAGGATCAATTCTTGATCAAATCAAGAACACCCGCTCTGATACCAATTGTAGTTGCGATTTAATCGAGTATGATTGTAATCAGAGTAATCAAAGTAGTATGAAAACTGAGAGTAAATAAGATCTGGTTTATCGCTCAATTATACTTTCGAATACAAAGAGAATTCTAGACAGAATCACTTGGAAAAGTTCTATCTAACTCTGAGTATAACTTCTATTTATAGGAGAATAAGAAAGTATACAAAAAAATACTAAGGGCTAAACATCAAGACTTCGAAACTATTATGCCTTAGTAAATAGATAAAATGACTTTCGAAACTGACTCAAATAACTTCGACACATTACAACATATTTGACACTAACATACAGATTTAGGATGTGAATAAAACAAAAACAGTTGACTTTAAGATGAGACACTTCACCCCTTTCCAAAGCAATCTCAGTTAAATACATATTACCCACCAGTAATCCAAGCAAGCATCAAATCATCCTCTTTTCCTTTATAAGGAACGTAAACCCTTCCTTATCACTCCTATCCTTCCTTTATGAACGTAAACCACTCCTCACAATATAACAGTTATCATATTTACTTTCTGTGAACTTCTAAAGTTGCTCTCAAACGTATTCAAGCTTCAAGTCCTACTTCTTCAAAGCATTCCCTAGATCCTAGTAAGTATCTCAAGTTTGTCTAGTAAATTCTACACATTATCTTGTTAATTTCCTTCCATTTACACATGATATTATGTGTTGATATTCCTAGGATATACTAAGTTTCAAAGAGTTTACCAAACTCTTCAAGTGTTAGAACTTGAAAACTTCTCAACATCTCTTCAAATCATCCACCTAACCAAACAAAGGTGAGCTTCATACCCCCATATTTTCAAGCTTTTCTATGTTTTAGGGGGGAATACAAGTCAAACTATGTTTATTCCACGAATAACTACAAGCTTTTCATCTTTGTGTTAAGGATAAATTATTATTTGTACAAATTATGGTATTCTCTAGTTTTGATATGAATATGGTGATATGTATATATATCTATCTATCAACAAAACTAACATGACCAATGTTATAAAACCATATGAAAAGTTAAGATCTATAATCTACATGCTTTTGGGAAACCTTTTTAAAAGATAGGTTTACTAGTAAGCCATGATACAATATAGTCATTTACAAATCTAGTGAGTTTAATACCTAAGTAATATGTTTTGATTTCATATTTTTCATGCTGGAGCACACCTTTACATTTATATAAAAGGGTATATAAATAATTTCAAACCAACTTATAAACTATAATATGTATAATTTATGGAATAAAGGAACTATTTTACAAAGTTACATGTTATTTACTAAAAGGGTTTTCACTTATTACTCGTAACCTCGTTGAAGCAATTTGTGAGACGTCTTCACATACTTACCTAAGTACCAACCAAGTGCTGACTTAATAACCAGAGTCTCCTGGAAGGAGAGCGTGAGTTTGTGTATAGATCTATACGGGACTGACAATCCCGTGTCCTGTTAGCTACACATAAATTACCTACATATGTTATGTGTAAGTAAATATTTACACATATTTTGCATATGTGTGGGTAATTAAACATATAATTTTTCATATCGGATGATACTTAATATGTGTAGAGAATCACCAATGCCTACACATATATATAGATTAAATTGATGTGTAGGTGATTCATTTGATATTACCAACACATAATATTATTTCACACATATGTACATAACTAAATTAACTAATAATAATAATTAATATTTAAATAAATGACGTGGCAAAGTAAATATCAACACATAATATCAATATATTTATGTATATGTAATTTTATTAGACAATTGTTATTATTATTATTATTATTATTTCATAAATGACATGGCAAATCAAATACCTACACATATTTTATGTGTAGGTAAATATATTAGACGATTGTTATTATTATTTCATAAATGAGGTGGAAAATCAAATACATACACATATTTTATGTGTAGGTAAATATATTAGAAAATTGTTGTTATTATTATTTCATAAATAATTAGCAAATAAAATACCTACACATATTTTATGTGTAGGTAAATATATTAGACAAATCAAATACCTACAAATATTTTCTATATGTATTGATATTTCTTAATAACGTTTTTATAGAAATCAACAATTAACATGTGTAGGTAAAATTGTTTAGCAACAAATTTTTATGTTTTTTGAGGGTAATTTTCCTCCAAAATTGTTGATTGCTATAACCACACGTATTGTAAAAAAAAGGTAAAGTATATATATATATATATATATATATATATATATATATATATATATATATATATATATATATATATATATATATATATATATATATATATATATATATATACCACTAACATTTATTGGATATAAATCTCTTTTTTAAATAACTTTGAAACTAAAAATTATAAATCAAGTAATTGAAAATCCAAAATATAAATGGATATGTGAAAGCAATATGAGCATACTCGACGAAAGCTAAATTTTAACTACAAAATACCATTTGCATAAGTTGTTATAAAAGAAATAAAATTATAAAAAAATCAAAAAGTAAAAATAAATTAATTAATGAAAAATTCCATGTGGTAAAAAAAATTAAAAGAAAAACAAAATAGAAAAAATAACATTGAAATAAAACAAAATTGCATACTATGATGGAATCAATCACATATCTTCATACCAATCGGAAGCTTTGAAATCGGGATCACATCCGAAAATCACGAATCATGGGTTTTCTAGTTTTCTACGTATGCTGTTATGTTGAAATTGTTCCACAAACGATCGGCAAAACCCTAATACGCAGGGGAAGCATCGACGGATCAAGGTGCGGCAAAGGCTACACATAAGGTACAAATTGATTGTTGTATCTTGTATTGATGTAATCAAATACTCCATAAAACTAATTAATTCCTTGTTGTTTCATATCATGCATCATCGCCATCGTCTTCCTTCTCCATTCATCATCGATTTCTGCTCCATAGTCCACCCTGTTCAGGTTCTTTTCCTTACTTTCTTGTTTCCCATTTTTTTCCATATGAACTTGTTTACTGCATATAATTCTTTGATTTCGTTGCTGCTTTGGCTTGGAAAGAACCATAAAATTTATTTTCTTTGATTACCTCTTAAATATACAAACCTTATAAAGTATACTTTCTTACCAGTAGCATAAAAAAATCACTAGCCAAACAATAGTTTTCACTAGATGTTTAATAAGATGAACAATATGCTAAAACACCAAGTAAACTAAAATTAAACTTAAAAAAAAACTAAAAAAGGATGGCATATAAAGAAAGCCAACATTTTACATAAATAGCTCATAGTAGAGTAATACCTAACTTGTCTGGGATCTAGAACAGAAAGCGTGAAAAATAACAAAAAAAAAGCATCATCTTCTTGGTGTTGCTGAATCGAATGCTTTTAGGATTTCTATTGTTCCTCCTTATATCTTTATACTTGTTGTTGGTGATAATTTATGTTGGTTGGTTGACATTTTGGAAGTTGGTTTCTATTTACTGTTGGTCAATGTTGTTCTTTGGTTAGCCATTTTCTTTTGGTGTGTTTGGCTCAGACAATTTTACCCCTTTCAGTTCTTAGTGTTGTTCTCATTGGGTGGTTTTCTACTCGTTAGTTACAAAAGAAATATAATTATAAGAAACATAAAAATTATAAGATAATTGCAACTCCCGTCTTTATAAAAACACACCAGGACATTTACAGCTACATATTATTCATACCAGGAACTAAAAACCGCTTTTCGTAACTAGGGGACAAAACTAGAGCCGGCAAAAAGTGACTCAACCCACCAACCCAACCCGAACCCAACACAAAATTAACGGGTTGGGTTTAGATTTTCAACCCGTTTAAGTTAATTGAGTCAACCCGTCTAACCCATTTAATTAAATAGGTTGGGTTGGGTAAAACTTATCGACCTATTTTCAACCCACTAACCCTTTTAAATTTAATATATATTTTTGTTTATTTTATTAGTATAACATTACTCAATTAATATATGTTTTATAATTTGACATTTATATTTTTATAAAAAATTATGCACTAGTATAGTTATAAGTTATTACCCTAATAAATTATAATGGGCTTTGATCATGCAGTGGAACTGTTTGACACAATACACACACAAATTATGTATTAATTAAAAGATTATGTTTTAAGTTTCTGGTTTCCTAATATCCTTAAATTACTTCACAGTTTTGACGTTTTAATTTTGACATTTTGATTTTCACTACTCCTAAATATCCTCAGCATCAGGACTCTATACGACAGTAGTAGTATCGTATGACTTGATTATATGTAGTAAGCAAGAAGCCAACTTCAAAAATCACTTCATCTTACTTTAAATATTTATTTGGGTTTTAAACTAATTTAACTAGGTGTAACTTTATCCTGTAGTAATAATCCTCAAACATTCTCATAAGACTGCAAACAACAACTTGGGTACATTAATAAACAAAAGTCCAACAGTTAGAAGACAAAAAATAAGAAAGGGTAAAATCGTCCATATTCAACACAAATTTCCACCAGCCAAAAATTACGTAAGAAACCACCTTATAACAGCCTTCAAAATTATTTCTAATTGTATAAAATTCCTTGCAGGTCCACCAATACCCATATCCAGTGATATCAATAGCGAGCATAGCGACCGCTATTGCGTTTTGCGAGGCGAGGCGTTCAAGGGTCGCTATGGGCTCAATAGCGACGTAGCGACGTTCTTGATTTTTTTTTTTTTTTTAATACGGTATCTATAGACCCGTTTTAGGGTTTTTTTAGTGGACTAAGTCAAAGAAGGTTCATACGCTCTTCTCTCGACCCAGCCTCCCTTCCACTTCTTCAACTATTGCCAGCTCCTTTCCTTCTTCCTGCGATTTCTCTTGCAATCAAAGATTAATAGTCTTTTTTGGTAGTATGCATGTTTTAGAACTTATTTGAGTTAATAGTCTTGGGGTTTTTAGCTTATTTATTAGTTATAATTGCTAATTAGGTGAAAGTAATAGTAGTATAAATTTTTTAATAGGTATTCTCTAAAAATGAAATAGCCGTTGCTATTTGATCGCTATCGCGACATAGCTTATAGGTAGGTTGTCGCTATGACCTCGCTATCGCCATCGATAACACTGCCCATATCCATAACAAATACTAACCATACAACTACCTGGCAAGGTCATGGAGAAATTACCGAGCTGAGTTGCATAAATACTTTAAAGATATTGATGTGGAAAATGAGAATGTTTGCAAAGTTATCAAGAGCTACATGGCAAGGTCATGGAGAAATTACCGAGCTGAGTTGCATAAATACTTTAAAGAGTTTGGAGGACCAGAAGACCCAATAAAGGCAAAGACTAAACCCCCTTCAGATATTCGTAGCAAAGAAGACTGGGAGTATCTATGTGACATGTGGTGTGAACCAAAATACATGGTAATGTTTTAAAAATATTTGAGCTATTGAATTAATTATTATTGTTGAATTCGGTATAATATTTGTTAGTTTTATTTGGTTGTATGTCCTTGAAGGAAATGGCAAAAAAGAAGGTTGTTGCTCACGGAAAGCGAAAAATGGAGACAAGAAATGGGTCGAAGAGTACAATACGCTATCATGTTGAGCTTGGACATGATGTGGATTCTTCATCGGGTCATATTGAGACTTGGCGGCTTACACATTGGGATGAAGAAAAAGGTTGGGATTCTACAGATATGGCTGCAAAATATGTAAGTGTAGTTGCTCATTTCTACCGTTGAATATATATTATTTGGTAAATAATTTATTTAATGTACTCGTCTTATTTTTATATGGTAACGGGAAGAAATGAAAAAGATGAGAAATGAGCATTCCTTGGAATCAATGAGTGACAAGTTGATTAGAGAAGGTACTTGGACGAAGCTCTGTTCGTTTGTTCGGGTGGGGACGTGATCCTGTTGTCGCTGGTAACATCACGGGTTCTATTGAGAAATCTAAGCATCCTAGTTACGATGAATTAGTGGATGAATTGGAAACAATGAAAATAGAACATGAAGTTATGAAGCAAATATTGATTGAGAAAAACATCATGCCTCCTCCACTTAGCACATCATCAGGACGATCACATGGTGATACATCCGAGTGTGGTACATCTAACCACACTCAGTCGGGATAGTCTCATGATGAAAATATTGATATATATGATGATATGCAATGACCATTCTATAAATTTTAGTATTTTCAAGTAGCTACTCATGACTAGTTGATCTTTTGGTAGTTTAAGTATTTCAAGTTTTGAGACTTGTAATTTTTTTGGTTTGAAATATTATGTTAGACAATTTTCAATTTATAATGCTATTTCGAATGCATATGTTTCAATTTATACAAATGTCTGCATTTATTTTGTATTACCTACATATATCGTTTTTAATACCCACATATAAATATATTTTTACCAACACATATCAAAACCAATGCCTACACATAAAAATACTCTTACCCACACATATTTTTATGACATGTGTAGTCCAGATCATTGACCATGTCAGCAGCCACATCATCAGCCACGCCATCAGCCACGTCATCGACATCCCAAACAAATCAAAATACCTCTACCTATACATATTTACTACTTTTAGTCACACATATATATGTAGGTATAGATTATATTATATCTACACATAAATTATGTGTCGGTAATGATCTGTATCAACAGGCATGAGCCTACACATAATTACACTTAATGTATGTGTAGATAATAACGAATACCATCACATATGATGCTTTTACCTACACATAATATGTGTGAGTAAACACCCAAATTTCTTGTAGTGGTCATTAACGATTCTGACGCCTGAAGAACGTCGTATTAGGCCATCCGTCATATTAGTATGGTTATAAGAACTCACATGGAGAAAACAACGACGTATTTACGTAGTAATATACTTTTTAAACAGTCTTAAGGGGATATCAATTCTGTGATTGCTCAACATATACATCAGGGTTATATAAAATTAATGTCCGATAGACAGTGGGATGTGTGACTTCCGCCTTATTTCCTGTTCCTTGTTTGGTTGTGGGCTTAGGGCAGATTTACCCACCCGACTGTCTCTTCGACCTCGATTTTATGCAACTCGTATATTCTAAGTGATCATAGGGGGATATTAACATCGCATCTAGTTTACAGGGCAACCACATCTTCAACTAGTTTTATTTATAACAAAATTGGGTATCATTCAATTAAGTATCGAATTTATACTTGTACTTTTTGGTATTGGAACATTTAAAATTACAATACGGTTTTATGGGAAGTATAGGACTTTTCAGGATAGACATCATTATTTTACAAGCAAACAGTTTACAATTCAACTTTCTGGGAACACCTTCTTTCTGATACAAACAAGGGAAAAATAAAATATGCTTGCAACTATATACAGATTTTGTAACGAGACTCACAAGCTACTTTTTATAGAAAATATCAGATTTTCTGAGAGTTTAACATAAAGGACCCTTAATTATTAATTCTATGATTTCTTAGCTTATACATTAGAGTCATATATAAATGATATCCGATAGGCAGTGGAATGTGTGACTTCCGCCTCATTTCTTGTTCCTTGTTTTGTTGTGGGCTTATGGCAGATCGACACATTCAACTGTTCGTTCGATATTGGTTTATATATAGCTAGTATGAACTAAGTAATCATAGAAAGAATGAGTATGGGGCACACTTCTTACATTCCATTTTACTAAGAAAATATAGGATTTTCTGAAGGAGCACACAAACAATTTCAAGGAACAAGAACTTACTTTCTAAAACAAAATGCTTATAAACTCACCAACTTTTTAGTTGATGCTTTTCAAAATGACTTGTATTCTCAGGAAACCAGTAGGCAGGTAATCAAATTTCTTGAGGGCCGGCATCGTCGTTTCATGTTTTTCCTACTTTTTAGTTATTATATTCAACTTTTGTGTAACTTGTGAACAAATACAATATGTAAACAATGTAAGTTTGTTATATCAATGTATGAATGTTTGTGTTGCTATGTCTCATTACTTTTCAATTGTTATGATACTGTACATGACGTCCTCCGCCCCCGAATGTTTCCGCCGTTCTGGTTTTGGGGTGTGACATTTATTGACATAACATTCCTAAAACTATCTTTGATAAATTGTAAAATGAAACATAAAGGCTAATTTGCTTGACCAACATTTAAAGAGATCATTAAAAAATTTGGCAATCAAATATGTAGAAAAACTATGGAATAAGCATTCAGTTGATATGGGAACAAACTGTTCTTATAAAATTACTGGTAAAATCAAACACAAAACTCTAAATATAATAATAGACTATAAAATTACAACTTGAACTCCAATATGCAAATTAGACTAAACAAAATACTTTCCTTTATCTTTTCAACATACCATGATATTTCTTGCCCTTAAACAAAGAGTCTCAACAGATTTATATGGGAAGCACCTGACAATTGCAATAGTATTAAGAGGTATTACATAATGAGCACAAAACTATTGAGAATTTTGCATATTCATAAGCTATGTGGTTTTAGAAATCAAAACTTAAAGTCAAATAGTTCAACTAAAATAATAAATATGTAGGAAATGAAAAAAAAGAGTATTAAACACCAAGAAAATACTAAGAGCATACCACGTTGTTATCAAATCCCAACATGCTTTGATGTCCCCATTGTAACCTGCATTGTCGGTTACTTGGAGAATATTTACTAAATAAAGTGTATAAAATCAACCTTGGGTATCTCAAATGGCTTATCTTTGTAATGCCTGGTCCCTGGTATGCATTTAATTCATTTAATTATTTATTTTGAAAGAGGAACTCGACGAGTTGGTGGCCCTAACTCGTCGAGTAGAGGGCTGATTATGCGCGGGGATTGAGCTATTTACTCGACGAGTCAAGAGCCCTCGACTCGACGAGTAGCTCGGCCAGAGTGAAACCCTAATCTCGGCGTTTTGCACCCTATTTAAGCTCCTTAACCCCCACCCCTTGGCCTCATTTCCAGCCTCCTTGTCCCAAACCTTAATCCACGAAACCTAGAGCTTTATTTGAGAGTGTGAGCCATTTTGAGTGATCTTTGTGTTCTTTTGAAGCTTGTGGAAGAGGAAGAAGATAGAGGGCTCAAGAGGGAAAGAGTAGATCTAGAAGCTACACTCCATTTGCTACATTTTCTGGCAATCAAGTTTCTATATTGGCTATTAGCTCATTAGATCTCTTTATGTCCTCTTCATGTGGGTTTTTGGTCCAAGATTGGTAGCTTTTGGGAAATGATCGATCCAAGAGGGTATTCTTCCAGATCTAGTATCTGGAGCGGCTGTTATGACATAAAGGTGCAAACTTTATGCCATTGGATCCCCCATGCAAGCCTTAGAGAGTCATATTGGCCTTTTTAGCCCCAAAAGGCTGTGGGAAAGGTGGGAACTTTACGTGTCCAAGTAGTGTTAGGGTTTTAGATATGAGGTTGTAAGCTTGAGTTTGGTGTATGGAGGGCTTAAGGACCAAGTTCTAGGTCCCAATGAATTAGGGTTTGAGCTAAACCCTTTAAGAAGTGGTATTAATGGGTAAAGTCAGAAACATTACCCTTAAAAGGACATTTTCAGGGTTTATGTGAAGTATGAAGCTTGGATCTGAAGTGTAGGGGCTTAATCCATTAAAATAGCCCAAACAGACAGGGGAAATCGGCGAGTCCAGAAAGGGACTCGACGAGTTGAAGTCAGGTTGTCCCGATTGTATGCCAGGTAGAACTTGACGAGTATGTGAAGGGACTCGAAAAGTTGACTCGGTTAACCACGATCCTGAGTAATATAGGAAATCGTCGAGTTAGGAAGTAACTCGACGAGTTGAGTTGATTGGGAGTTGACCTTCGCTGTGACTTGGACCAAAATGTTGACTTTGGCCAGGGGTAAAATGGTCATTTTACCCTAAGAAGGATTATCAGGTTTTAACTAAGTGTTATTGTGAAATTGATGGCCGGGGAGTTGGTGGAGCAGCCGTTAGAGATTCCTCACACGAGATTTCACAGCTAGCATTCGAGGTGAGTTTCCTCCAGTAGGAACAGGTCTAAGGCACCAAGGTCGGCCCGTTTAGTTAGTAGTAGTTCCGGACTGCGGTCCGATATCGGGCGGGGCCCAATGTAGGTTTATATGCTTTTCCGGATTTCGATCCGATGACGGGGCGGTCCCGAGGAATGCTTGTATGCTTGATGTCTTTGTGATTCTTGCATGTGTTTGTATTGTATGTTGCCGGACTTCGGTCCGATGTCGGGGCGGTCCCGAGGAACGTTAGTATGTTACCGGATTACGGTCCGATGTTGGGCGGGGCCTAAGGAATGTTTAAGTGTTAATGTTATATGCTTAGGTTTATATGTATTATTGATTATGTTCACATGTATTCCGAGATGTGCTCGATGTCGGGCGGGGCCCGATGCCGAATAGGGTTCGATGCCGGGCGGGGCCCGATGCCGGGCTTGAATCGATGTAGCAGGGGCGGGGCCCAAGATATGTTTATGTGATATGTGTATGGTATGTGGTAGTTGGGGAGACTCACTAAGCTTCGTGCTTACATGTTTTCAGTTTTGGCTTCAGGTACTTCCGCTAGTAAGGGGAAGAGCTCGGGATGACTGCATGGCACACACCATAGTTTTTAGCCTGGGAGGATTTACTATGATTTTTAACATATGATTTTGATACATTGACATATATTATGATATTTTTGAGATATATGGTTGTGACTTTTTGTGATGGGTGATATTGATGGTTTTTATTACTGATTTAAAACAAATTTTTTGGACTATATTTTTGGGATGTTTCAAGTTGATATCAGAGCCTAGGTTTGAGGGATTCGAGCACACTCTCAGGTGTGTCTGAACTCAAACTAAGGACATGGTATGAAAATTTTCAAAAGAAAATTGTTTTTACAAAAAGAATTTTGAAAAGAGAAAATGGGTGTGGTGCATGCAATCAGTCGGGCTCAAGTAAGTACTCACAAAATTAACCATACAAGTTTATGTTATGATATGATTATGAGAAATGCATGCTAGATTAGATGATCTAGGAAGGATGCCTTATGTGCCTATTATATGTGTATCAGCTTTATGAGAATTGCATGCTAGTTTAGGACTAAGGATCTAGGAAGGATGCCTTATGTGCCTGTTATATGTATCTCAGTTTTATGAACTGCATGCTAGTACAGATTAGCCAGTGATGGCCTGAATGAGATATTCTTGATTATGTTTACTCGATGCTCGAATGCTGCTTGCTTTGCGCTTTTAAGAGTTCTAGTTATCTTTTACTAGCTAGTAAATGA